TTGTAATATCTTTTTATTTAAATTTTTTTTTTAATAAATTAATATGCCGCGATGAGACATGCTATAACACATTTTTTATTAATAATATAATTTTTTTCAACAAAACAATCTTATATATTACTATTTTCCTATACTGCAGTCTAACATGTACACTGCAAACGGTTAACATTGTTCTGTTTCCTTAAGTTCGTATGTACACTTATTCATTTTTCTTACAGCAATTTTATAATGCATAGTTGAGATGCTATTTTTCCTCAATTTCCTAGTTGTTAGTATAACTATTTCTTTCTCAGAATATAACGAATAGCAGAATAGAATAGGGAAAGTTCTTTCTGATATGTGCAAACATTTACATAATACATGGAATTTTGTAAATTATATCTTCTTATTTTCTTGTATATTCCCGCGTAAAAAAATTTATTTCACATCGGAAAGAAAGATACTTAGAAAATTTCTAAAATTTATATCACAAAAATTCGGTGAAGAATCAATCATTTTATAGTCGTGAAAATTTCGCGCCGTTTTGTTCGTTCCGTTTTCCGCAGCATTCTCCAAATATGGACCATTCTTATCGCAATCTAACAAAATGAAGAAAATATCAAAAGCGTATTCGCCTTTGGATTGAAGAGTTATGAGAGTTGTTGCGGATGAATGCGCGTGACCTGCGATAAAAGCAAGTACGATGAAGAACCGAAAACAGCGACCGTTTTTCATTGCGCGTAGATACAGGGAAGCGTGCAATCTGTTCCGGTGTGGCGCGTGAGTAAAATCGATTGAGAGGGATACGATGAGGTCGCACTAACGCCAAGCTCGAGTTCCATTAGGCGCAACGGTAACGCCCGGTGGTCCGTACAACGGAAACTCTCTATCGTGTAACGCACGCGACATGCACTCGCAAGCGTTTCGTGCTTTGATAACAGAAAGCGCAAAAAGCTTAAGCGATATTAATCTGTTAAATCTAATTCCCCCCGTTAAATGTAATTCCCCCTAAGTCTCTCTTAAAAAGAAAATGTATCATTTTTCTTTCTCTCAATAGGAATCCTCTAATTGGAAAAGTGACGAAAAATTCTCTGCTTCGAGATTACTAAATGAGTATAACTTGAGTTTCAGCAAAGACAAAGAAAGCATTTAACAAATTCTTCTTTTTTTCCTCTTGAGTGGATATAAATGTCTTTATAAGTTCTACAAAGTGGCACGTGAGTGGAATAACCTGGAAGTTCCCAAAACGGCTATAATTCTTACAATGTGAAACTTTTATCCTTTTTCGTGATTAAAACGCACCGCTGATTGCTCTCTATGGATAATTGCAGACAACTGAAATTTTCAAATAAAGAGACACAAGAAGAAAATAATAGAACCATTATACAGAATCGAGTTTTATTTTTATTTATCGAATAGTAAAGGGTATATTATTGATTAAATTGGATATATATGAACATGTTTTAATGCAAAAAGATAAATTTACAAAATTGGATATATATGAACATGTTTTAATGCAAAAAGATAAATTTACAATTATCTGATCTATACTGAATCAATAATAGATATCATAATTAAAAGTTTTTATATAACGCGTTTGTCTCTCATCTCAGTTAAAAAATAAAAAATTTGTAGATTATATTATTGATATTAGATGTTTTTTCTATATTCTCTCTCTTTCATTTATTTTATAATTTTTTATTACTGTTAATTATCATCTATTTTCTTTTATGATCATAAAATCTCGATGATTGGATATATTTTCACGCAATCGAGTATGATGTATAGTTACTTTACTATCATTTCCAGTTCTTACTTCGTAACTTAATCATGTGATCGATAGACTCTTCGGGCATAACTGACAAAATTTGTAGACTATATTATAGATTTTATTCCTTTGTGGATCGGTGACCCCATTTGCGGATCACCTCTTTTATTTTATAAAAGCTTGCTCAATTTTTATGGAACTTAACGTATGGGATAATTTGACAATGCTTTATTTTAATCTGAGATTAAAAATAAAAAATTCGAAATGATCGATTCAATGTGACGAATAGAATTTAAAAAAATAATTTGTTTATAAAACTTGGTTTTAAAGAATTTTTAATTGAGAAATATATAATATCAAGTTTCCAGTTCCTTTATTTGAATCTCAGTGCAACGTATATAAACAGTTAATACTGATTTCCAAACTCTGATTATGAACCCTGTGACACTAGATCCTTCTTCATAGAGATTATTATCCTTTTGAAATTCGATATTTTCTGGCTATATTCAAACATATCAAGAATCTCCTAAATCCGAATTTCACGATAATCAAATAATATTGTTTTGAAATATGAATTTTAGAATTTTTAGGTCAGAATTAATTTTAGGTCAGAGTGCAGCGTCCCCGAAAATCTTTACAAAGCACGATCTATCATAAGTTATTTTATAAAAAAGCTCCGATCTTCAAAAGGTTAAATTCTTTTTTTTTTATTTGCTTTATTATTTTTTATTACTGTCGATTATCATCTATTTTCTTTCATGACCATAAAACCTCGATGATTAGGTGCTTCGCACGATCAAGCATGAGAAGTGGTTACTTTACTACGATTTTCAGTTCTTGCTTCGTAATTTAATTACATGATCGATAGACCCTTCGGGCATACTGACATCCCCGACCGACTTTGATAATAAAATCACACGAATTCCCAATTGATTGAAATCGCGCGATAAAACCGTAAGATGGTAAGAATAAACGGTAGGCAGAGATCAATTCTTTCCTTCTCGGATGATTAGAACTATCGGTACGAGCTGCCTCGAAACGACGCGTGAGTGGAATCAATTGGAAGATAGGAAGGTAGCGTTGTAGCATCCAAGTAGAAGTTCCATTAAGCTCGAGGAACTCAAGAGGCAGCTCTCTTCGTACAGTCGGGTAGCCTTGCGACCGAACGACGCGTGCTCGCAGCTGCAAGACGATCAAGCAAGTTTCTTGGAACTCGGACTCCCGCGATGCTTCTCAGGACAATGACTTGTAATTAAGGGTAAGATCGACCGCCTGATATTCCGCGATGGTCTGGAAACTACAGCGCCGGAAGCTTCGAAGCTCTCTTCTAATGGCTGACAATGATTGGCTTGTAAAAACTGCTGAATTATTTATTTTTTGTGAATCTTATTCGCTCAAGATAGTTGTGCTAGGCTCAAACTGAAGAATCATCTGATTTAAAGTTTGTTAGTTTCATAATCTATGCTATATAGATCTTATCACTTACTCAAGAAGCTCTTTACTTAATTTAATTTCTTGTCTTTGTTTTGCGACTTCTGGTGAACAAGTTTCTAGTACGACCGTGTTCCCTTTACTTGGATAGAGAATAAGTGGACCAAATTATAATAATAAAAAGACAAAATAACAATCGAAAAATTAAAGATAGGGATGCAAGAATCAAAACATAGTTAGTGATGCGCAAATAATTTAAAACGAAGCGTCTTTAATAAAATCTGAATCTGTAAATACAATGAATACTGTAATTACTAATGTTTCGGTTCCACTTCATCAACATAGAAATAAAATTGATTATCTTCCAGTCACAAACAAACCATAGCAATCTTTCTTCAAATATTCTCAAACGTTAATTAAGAGAAGCAGGTTAATGATACAAATTAAAACGCTAACTATGTCTTTATTTATTTAACTTCTTAGGTAATGATACTCAGGCTCGGTCTCACTAACATAAAATTAACTTTAATCTTGATTCTATCTCGGTTTCTAATTCTGAGAGTTAGAAAAAGATAAAAAAAGTAAATTGAAAGTAAATTGAACCCAGATTAAAGTTAATCCTATGTTAATAAAACCGGACTTATAAAGGATATAAAATATCATGTTTGGCGTTGATCAAGAAGTCAAGTAAATAAAAAAAGAAAACTTATCAAAGATCCAAGAGTGTGAAAGATATCTAATAAAACTACAACTATCCGTCGCGTCATTAATATTAAAATTGATCAATGTAAAAATGAATAAATTAAAAAGTTACAAGACAGTCATAGAATAAAATCAAAGTGACACGACTAAACTGAGTTTCAAAAAAGAAAAAGAATGTCGGAAAAATAAGTTAAAACCATTAAAGTAAGAAATAAACAGATAAGCCAAAATAATAAAGTCAAATAAATACATGTAAATAATAAACGGAACGTTGCAAATTGAAATTACAAAATTGGAATGAATAAAGGTAAATAATAATAGGAACGTCGCAGATCGCCAAATTTAAAAACATTGTAAATAAAAAGAGAAGAAATCGAACATGCTTTATAATATACTCAAACCTATATACATATCCATGATGTAAGAATCCGTAGTTTCCGACTATAAATTGAAGCTATCCTTTTCAATAAAAAAATAAGCTTTTATAAATCTAAAGACCTAGATATTTTTAAAAATTTCAAAATTCGAGAATGCCAACAATATATTTGACATTGTTCCTGTACCAAAAATGCTGTCGCATATCAGAGCGTAGCACTCTTTCGGCGCGAAATTCTCTACGTTACAATAGGAAATTCCACAGATATTTTAGCTTTCAACTTCTGACGGTACAAAGCGAGTCTGGCCACGTGCCGTCCCTTTGGTACGCACAAAAATCCCGTCGTGTGAAATCGTGGACGCGAATCAGCTCGCTTATCTAAGTGAAGCGCGAGGACGAGACAAGTCGACTCTCGAAGACAAGACGCGAAGGAAGATGTCTCTTAGAAACGTTCCCGAACACGAAGTTCAAGAACTTTCTTTTCGTGGAAAAGGGAATTGA